TTAAAACTGCGAAAGGACTGTACTTTTTGAGAAGCGAAAAGCTACAGATATCTCTAGTCCTCACAATTGATTGCCGCTCCTTGAAATGAATATTACGTTCAACGTGGGGCTCGTTCCATGCCCGAAATTAAGTGTCTCAGTTTCACCGACAGAGCTGACGGGCGAGAGGGTGTATAAAATTGACCAAAACTAACAAGACTTTACATATAATAAAATAAATTATTACGAATATTTAAGGAAAATTTTAGAAGAATTGAAAGTTTTGCATTTCACTATTTTTAAAATATGTATCATAAAGTTGGGCTAAAATATTAATCATATCTACAGTCTCGCGTAATATTCATCTACACTAACGACGGAGATTCCATTGTTTAGAAACCAACGAATGCAAAAGAATGTCATATTTATTTAATTTGAGGTGAAAATTTTCCGCAAAAACTTAAATACTTGGAAATGGTTTCCAATAACCAAAGCAGTTTGAATATAAATCCTAGTGGGTGTCGAATCCAGGACCACGAGATTATAATAGTTGTCCTTACCGAAAGAGCCTGGCTTTCGACATTGAGCCAAAAATTATTTAAATTGCAAATGGACTGTTATTTCTATAGAAGTAAACCGAACATTTGGCAATCCTGCCAAGAGGCTGCCAGTTATTCGGTATGTTTATAAACATAACGCCCAACGGGCTCTGGAACCGACCCCGAAGATTAAGAGTCTCGTGCTCTACCGACAGTCAAGGACGATTGCGTATTAAATGATGAAAACGGCTGATATCAAAATTTAATTCAGATGTAAAAGCAAACTTTTACATGTGTACCGTGGTCAGCCATATAGATAGTCTGGCAACGCTCACTACTGCCCGAATTCGCGACCTATGATGATGAGTGCAGTAAGCCCTACCATCAACACAATAATTTAAAATTGCGTAACGAATATCAACGAAAAATAAAATAATTTTAGAAGCATAAAGAAACCTGAAGTAAGGTAGGGAAACCTCGCAACAATCCTTTGAGACAGTATATATGTAAATCTCGCATTGCTCATACAGAAAATGTAACGGCAAATGTAATAGAAATCACGTTAATAAAAGTTCCCGTTCACTCCAATTGAACAAGTCCGAAGAAATCGAGTTACAATTAATTAAACCGCGAAAGGACCGTAAATTTTAGAAGCAAATAGCGAACGATATTCATCCCCACACTGATTGCCAGTTCTTTGGAGAAATTTACGCACGAACGTTGGGCTTCTGAACCTACGACCCCGATATTAAGAGTCTCTGTGCCTACCGACTGAGCTAGACGGGCGAGAGTGTAAGTAAAATTGACTAAAACCAATGTAAGACTTTTATATAATAAACAGATTATTTACCAATGTTTAGGCGAAAATTTTAGAAGAATCTGAAAGCTTTTGCATTTCCCTAATGCCATTTTTAAGATATATATCATAATGTCGTAACTATTCTGCTGGATCAAGAGTCTCGCGTACTATTGATGTACACTAACGACGGAGACTTCGTGATCGTTTAGTACCAAAGAATACAAAGAAATGTCATAAAATATTTATTTTGAGGACAATGCAAAAGTTCTAAATACTTGGAAGTTTTTCGCAATATCCAGCATTTTGAAATATAAATCCTAACGTGGGTCTCGAATCCAGACCACGAGATTATAATATGTTATCCTACCGACCAGCCTGGCTTACGACATTGAGTTAAAATTATTTAAATGGCAATGACTGTTATTTATAAAGTAAAACTAAACCATTGGCAAACCTAAGGCAGGTTGCCAGTTATTCGGTATGTTTATCATAACGCGTAACGTTTGGTTGAACCCACGACCCCGAGATTAAGAGTCTGTGCTCAACCGACTGAGCTAGCCGGGCGACGATTGCGTATTAAAATGATGAAAACGGCTGATGGACAAAATTTAATTCAAAGCCAACCCTTACATGTAACAAAATGTTTTAACATAATACCCGCGCCGTCTGAACAAGTAACGCTCAATTACTGGCCCGAATTGGGAATCCCGGGATGATGAGTGCAGTAGCTCACCGAATAACACGATAATTCTAAAATTGCGCAACGAATTAATATCACCGAAAATAAAAATAATTTTAAAAGCAAAGAACGACAAGGAAACCCTTCTAACAAACCTTGAATTATATGTATACTGCATCGTCATACAGAAAATGTAACGGCAAATGGGGAAGAAACAATGTTAATAAAAGTTCCCACCACTCAATTGAACAAGTCTGAAGAAAATTGAAAGTATAAAATACACTGAAACTTGTAAATTTTATAGCAAAGATAGAGATTCTATCCTCACAATTGATTGCCAGTTCTTGAGAAATTTAGAATATTGCGCCCAACGTGGGGTTTCGAACCCACCCTGAGATTAAGTAAGGTCTCGTGTCACCGACTGAGCTAGACGGGTGAGGGTGTATAAAATTGACTAAACTAACAAGACTTACATAATAAACAAATTACTACGACATTTGGGCGAAAATTAGAAGAATTGAGCTTTTGCATTTCAATGCCATTTTTAAAATAGGTACTGGCAAGTTGGGCCTGCACTATTAACAGTATCTACAGTCTCGCGTAATATTCATCTACCAACGACGGAGATTCCGTGATTGTTTAGAAACCAACGAATGAATGTCATAATTAATTTAATTTGAGGTGAAAAGTGTTCTTCCGCAAAACTTCTAAATACTTGGAAATGGTTTCGCACAACCAAAGAAGTTTTGAAATATAAATCCTAACGTGGGTCTCGAATCCAGGACCACGAGATTATACGTTGTCCCAAATGAAACAGCCTGGCTTTCGACATTGAGCCAAAATTATTTAAATTGCAATGACGTTATTTCTATAGAAGTAAAACCGAACCATTTGGCAATCCTGCTGCCAGTTATTCGGTATGTTTATAAACATAACGCCCAACGTGGGTTGAAACCCACGACCCCGAGATTAAGAGTCTCAGTTTCACCGACACAGCTAGCCGGGCGACGATTGTGTATTGCAAAACATGAAAACGGCTGATGGACAAATTTAATTCAGATGTAAAAGCAAACCCTTTTACATGTAACAAAAATGCTTCAACATATTCCAGCCAATTGAACAAGTACCAATTACTGGCCCGAATTCGCGAACCTAACATGATGAGTGCAGTAAACTCTACCGAATAACACAATAATTTAAAAATTGCGCAACGAATTAATAGACACCGAAAAATAAAAATAATTTTTAGAAGCATAAAGATCGACAAGGTAAGAAACCCTTCGCAACAAACCTTGGAGATTATATATATATATAAAATCTCGCATCGTCATATAGAAAATGTAACGACCAATGTGGGGACTAGAAATCACGATAATAAAAGTTCCCGTTCACTTCCAATTGAACAAGTCCGAAGAAAATCGAGTTACAAATTAATTAAAACTGCGAAAGGACCGTAAATTTTTTAGAAGCAAAAAGCGAACGATATCTCTATCCTCACAATTGATTGCCAGTTCTTTCAGAAATTTTAGAATATTACGCCCAACTTGGGGCTCGAACCTACGACCCCGAGATTAAGAGTCTCGTGCTCTACCGACTGAGCTAGACGGGCGACGAGGGCGTATAAAATTGACTGAAACTAACAAGACTTTACATATAATAAACAGATTATTTACGAATATTTGGGCGAAAATTTTAGAAGAATTCGAAAGCTTTTGCATTTCCCCACGCTATTTTTTAAAATATATATCATAATGTTGGGATCGTAACTATTCTGCACATCAAGAGTCTCGCGTACTATTCATGTACACTAACGACGGAGATTCCCCGTGATCGTTTAGAAACTAACGAATACAAAAAGAATGTCATAATTTATTTATTTTGAGGTGAAAAGTGTACTTTTCCGCAAAAAGTTCTAAATACTTGGAAGTGGTTTCGCAATATCAAAAGCAGTTTTGAAATATAAATCCTAACGTGGGTCTCGAATCCAGGACCACGAGATTATAATATGTTGTCCTACCGAAACTGCCTGGCTTTCGACATTGAGCTAAAAATTATTTAAATTGCAAAGGGACTGTTATTTCTATAGAAGTAAAAACCGAACCATTTGGCAACCCTTACAAGAGGCTGCCAGTTATTCGGTATGTTTATAAAACATAACGCCCAACGTGGGGCTCGAACCCACGACCCCGAGATTAAGAGTCTCGTGCTCTACCGACTGAGCTAGCCGGGCGACGACTGCGTATTAAATTGATGAAAACGGCTGATGGACAAAATTTAATTCAGATGTAAAAAGCAAACCCTTTCACGTGTGTAACAAAAATGTTTAACATACTCCGCGCCAATCTGAACAAGTAACGCTCAATTACTGGCCCGAATTCGCGACCCTAACATGATGAGTGCAGTAAACTCTACCGAATAACACAATAATTTAAAAATTGCGCAACGAATTAATAGACCGAAAATAAAATTTTACAAGCATAAAGACGACAAGGCAAGAAAACCTCAACAAACTGGAGATGAGGATATGATATAAATTCACATCGCCATAGTAGAAAATGTAACGACTAATGGAGGACTAAAATCCACGATTAAAAGATTCCTCGTTACTTCCACTAACAAGTCGAAGAAAATGAGTTACAAACCTATTAAACTGCAAAGGACCGTATGATTTTTAATAGAAGCAAAAAGACAGACATTCCCTACCTCACAAATGAGTCACGTTCTGAAAGAAATTTTAACTATTCTACGCTCCAACATTGAAGCTGACTCGACCGGATAAAATCTCGTGCTCTAGAAACTGAGCTAGACTGGACGACGAGGCGTATAAAACTGACTGAAACTAACAAGACTCTTACATATAATAAACATTATTTACTTAGTCATTGGGCGAAAATTAGCAATACGTAACTGAATGAAGCACAACAT